ACAAGTATGTCAAGTAACTGGAAGCATATCTCAGAAATTTATGAAGAGCCAAAAAATCCTTGTAGAAATATTAAAAACTCGAAAGCATCGTTGTTCGTGACGAACATGTTTCATGGTTGAGAGGTTCGGTGATCGAAAGCCATACATTCAATCGATTTCTACTGTCGATAGATATCGTCACTGGTCGATTTAGCATGCTGAATATACGAAAATAGCATATGTGGAAAAAGTCTAATGATGAAAACAAATTCATCAGTGTCTTTTAATAGATGTGAACTATTTTACAGGCCACATGCATTGTTATTGTCAAGAGTAGCAAAGCGATTTATCTGTTATACGCCAGTGAGCTACTCATGCTTGATAGTATCGCAATCTTTGCTTCGTGCTCCACACGAAACAATAGAATTTCAGGTGGCTTCTTTACTATAATTATCTGAATAAAAATTCAAGGATTGAATACTAATTGGAACATGCCAAAGAGCATCTAATTTAAAGTGGTAAACGCCAACAAAAACCGGTCTGGATCTCTGGTGACAGTGATTCGAGTATGGCATTCAACATATAGTCTTGTATAGACATGCACCAAACCCTAACAGTTTGGGTTTGGTGGGTTTGATCGAATGAGTTTGGGCTTGGGTATTTAGTTGAAGTGTGAGAAAGCCTTTGTTATCATCCAATATTCAAATATGACAATAAAAATTTGTAGCCTAGTCCAAGTTAGCATAAACAAGGCACATAAAGTTCAATTAAAATTTCACTGACTTCGGCAAATACTTTTGTAATGACGTAAGTACGGGATAGATCATTGCAAACGTTTTGGCAGTATATACTAATATCTTATATATACTGTGTCACAAGTTTTTAGGAAGCTTACATTTACTATCGATACATTATTAAGCATGAGCATGATCATAATTGAATCTAAGATACTCGTCTTTCACTATCAAATTCAAAAGAAAACTAGCATAGAGTATTCGACATATTTTTATAATCATGATGTATGGTAAGTAGAAGGTTATTCATAAGCTGAAGCATATTGATTTTAATTTCAAATGGATTTTAATCATCATTTTTTAAATACATTTTCTATTTCTACGTTAGTCATTGTAGAAAAATAAATATTTAACAAGTAACTATAGTTCTTTTATTTTGGAAATAAAAAATAAAGTATTAGCACGAAAGATACAATATTTTTTATTAATCTCAACTTCAGATTATAGATCTTTTATTTTTTAAAGCTCTTGTTTTAGTTTCATAGCTTATCTTTCAAAAAAGACTGACATAGCTAAGTTTTTAGGTGTTAAACGTGAACGTTCTTTTCTACGATAATGTGCAGAAATTCAGAAAGTTTATTCACTTTGAACACTTGTAGCAGGCGCTGATAAATAGCAATAAGCCATACGTGACAGTAATGGTAAATCGATGGCATGCTCCTTCCAAAAAATTGTTGGATTCACGAACTGACAATCGATGAAACGTTGCCCCCAAATTTACCTTAATCTTTCAAACTCGGATCAATGCATGTAACCAAACTCCATTTATTCTAATTTGAGAAGTTTGTGATATCATTCAAAAAAATAATTTGTGCTTTTGATTCAGAAAAAGACTAACTCATGAGTATAAGAATGCAATAAATATAAAACAATTAAGATTTTCCACACTTAGTTTAATATATTGAGCTTTGAAAAATCAGCTGGTTTTTCTGAGATTAGTCTGAAACTTGAAAATCTATTTCTGTATTCAATCGAAAAATTCCAGATATAGTGCAGTTAGAAACAATGTTGTGGATAGCAATATATTGAAATTATTTTTTGTGATCTCAAGTTATTTTTAACCAAATAGATCAACTATATTTAGTAAACATAACCACTAGATAAAAGAAGATATTTTCAAGTTATATTTTAAATAATTGATTTCGAAAACTTTCATTAGGAGATTAGCTTGTATACATATTAATATAAATTAGATTTTAATAAATGGCTAGTATCAGTTAGCTATATCAAGACCTAAGATATTCTATTTCAGTTTTTGGTTAAAAGTACACGTATTGAAGACTTGTATTGAGTTCAAAAGAGAATGTATTAGCTAATTCTATGAGCTTGGCTAAGATATCAAGTAACACTCACAATTCATATATAATCATCACACAGCAATATTACGAAGCAACAAATCAGCTTTATGAAACCTACACTGAAAAAAAAATAAGCACTCTACGAAACTTAAAAGGGTTCCGAGATTTGCAACGAATTCGAAACCATTTTTCTTTATCATACGGAACCTTCGAGGTTCTTCAAGGGTTTCGTCAAGTCTCACAAAACCCTTAAAGATATCGGAGACTNATCGGAGACTCCGACACAGGTTTCGTGAGACTATACGGAACTTTGAAGGTTCCGTACGACATCGCAAAAGGGTTTCGAATTCGTTGCAAATCTCGGAACCTTTTTAAGTTTCGTAGAGTACTTTTTTTTCAGTGTAAGGATGGAAGCAGATGATTTATGCTGCTTCTTTTCGATAGATAATAAAAGCCTGCGAAGAATCCTGGAGATGTGTCAGAAATCACAACCAGAAATCATAGAAATAATGAAGGAGCTGTCAGATTATTATTTAGTATAGAGTTTTGGTTTCTGAATAAATTTTAGTATAATTGTGTTGATAGAGAGTTAGCTTTAACGTTGTTCAGTCTAACAGCCAGACTTTACGGTACTGTTTCACTGTAGCATTGAAACTGATTTGCCAGCTCAGGCAGTATTTCTTGGTGTTTCCATAATTTTTTCACATTAACTATTTGAATTTCAAGTAGGGGATATGCCTGAAATAACAGGCTTGTGTAAGTTATGAGAACTTTCATGATAGATCGGTTGGTAGAGACGTCTCTGCCATATAAGCTGGAATGAATCATATCCGCAGGTAAGCTCTATAGTGTGTGATTTATGAGTTGATTTATGAGAATGTTCCTGGGTAGTTCAGAAATTCACCGTTGGATTTCGGATTTTTCTCCGCAATAGAGAACTGGATGTGTTACGGTTTATTTTGATGTTCTATCTGTATATTCCCCATGTTTGAAACTCATAAAAAAATCTTAGTTAAATGATTTTGTGGGCTTAAAAAGCGATGAAAATTATAGCATTTCTATGTGATGAATAATAAAATTGATAATAAAAACTAGTCAAACTTCTGATGGCAGATTTAGCCAGATTCTTTGATTTTTTAAGGTTTGAATCCTTCTAATAGGACTTTTCTTTCATTAAAATCTATTCAATTTTCTCTTCTTGGAAATGATTGTGCTGATTTCTAACTTGAAACTAGATTTCTCTGGATTGTGCGTTCAAAATCCATATCAACTCGATTATTCTTTGAAAAGCGATACTTCTTGAAGGAATATAACTACCACGGAAAAAATTAATGCAAATCGTATTTGTGATCTAAAACAAAGATTTAATGGACAGAAAAATTTTGTTTTGGATATATATATGAGTATTACAAGAATAGCCATTTATAATACAAATAAAAATCTAATATGAAGATACAAACTGTTTATATACTTTTTGAGTCTTTTTCATACATGCTTGAATAACACGTAATGATAAACCATTTAAAACTTCATCGACAGCATTTTTAAGTTCACATTGTGATTTAGGATTTTTGTTTGTATTATAAATGTCTATTCTTGTAATATTCATATATATCCAAGAGAACTTCTTCTGATCATTAACTCTGTATTTTAGATCAAAAATTCATATGTTCTATCAAATGGTAATTTGAATTAACTAGATCTCAAAGCGTTCTCCTACAATTTCGAAAAATCCAAAGAAATCCAGGAATTCCTTTTTTTTAAATCTGTCAATATTCATTCCAAGAAATATTTCAACTCTCACACTCGTATATCAAACAGATCTCAACAAATTTCATCGAATTGTAAAATCAGATTTTTCGTCTCCATGATAATGGTCCTCAAATCTCAAAATACTGTATGTTTCTTTGAAATTCTAGCACCATATTCGATTAAAAGTTGCCCATATTCGTTAAAGGCCTTGCTATAAGCGTTCTACTCATGATATAAACACAAATCTAGGAGATCTATTTAATGGTGTCCGCAGATTTTTCATAGCTCATAGTAGGATTTTTTAGGTTTCTTTGGCATTATTCTATCATCGCTGAAGTCTAATTTCAAGCTGCAGAAAAGATGTGGATTCCACTGGATAGAGTTCGTCGAGTTCCACTTGGAGCATAGGCACGAGAATGGGACATTGGTCAAAGTGAATATGACCACATTTTACAAAAAAAGAATACCAGGAGTTTTTGGATTTTTCAAAATTTCCGGAGTATGGTTCGAGATCTCGTTAATCGAAATATACTGTTCGATAGGGTATACGAACTTCTACTAGTGATATGACTATGGACGTTGGAAAATCAGCTCAAATGATTATCGACAGGGTTTACTCGAACACGATGCTAAATTCACCTACACAATGGTCACTTAATACTTTTCACTGCGATTGCTTATGTAAACTATAATCTAAAAAATGTTACTATACTTTAAGCAAACAGCTAGTCATCGTAAACGACTGTTTACGAAAGTATACGATAGAAAAACGACAAATGTTTCCTGAACCATTTACGATCATCGGTTCCGACCTTTTACTGTGATATCCGACAGTCGCTTACAGTTAGCGTTTAGTTACGATGGTCGTTTACGGAGATTTTTCATGATCCTCATTTACGACTACCGTATTTCATTGTAACACTTCGTTTACGATAACAATAAACGACTACAAAATACGATCGCCGTTTTTCACCGTGAGCGATAGGTATACGGCCGTTTACGACTCAGGATGATCGACCTGGGCGATTACTATACTGATCGAAAGACAAACCCATGGGGAGTTTGATCTGATTTGCTCCTCCTCGGCCATTTTCACCCACAATTACAGTGTCTGATTTCGCTCCTTCACTCCAACGCATTACACGATTATTCGACGAGTCTGCTACATAGAGTGTACTCAACGTATCAACAAAGAGTCCATTAGGATACGACAACTGTGTCGAAGCATCCCCCATACTGTTTCCTCCAGCGACCACAATCCTTCTTTTTCACCTTTAGTCCATTTCATTACGCGATGATTTTTATAGTCTGCCACGTAGACATTCTGTTGTCGATCAACAAAGAGATAATAAGAATCGTTGAGTTGATTGAGTTTAGCACCTTTGCCATTCCCACCAGCTACGACTACGAGAGTACCATTCTTCTCACCCAATTGATATCGTCTTACTTCCCATTTTCCGACGTCAGAGGCGTAGAGATATCGCTGTTCATCCATGGCTATTCCAAAACAATCGATGTTGTCGATGAGTATTTCACCTTGTGTTGTACCACTACAACGAGACCATCGTACAACTCGTTTATTCCCCCGATCGCAAATAATGAGACTATCCGTCTCTTCGTCAATTAATACATCAGTTGGATAATCTAATCGATTGGATCCATTTCCTAGGCCTTTGCCACCAGCAACAATTTGTCCATTCGTTGTATGACCGTTCTTCCATTGGATGATACGATGATACATGTGGTCAACAATAACCACTGTTTGATCATCATCAACGAAGATACCATGAGGCCAGTAGAGCTGATTGGTGCCATTGCCGTTCCCGTGTCCTCCAGCAATAGACACACCTTGTTGTGTCCAGTTAGCATTAACAGGAATATTAACTAGAAGAGAAAACGTAAGAACGAAGGTGATCTCTATCGCTGAAGTGGTAGTGTTATTATAAAAGAAGACATGGAAAGTAGTGCGAAAAGTACTACTCTCTCTCGTGAATATACTCTTAGCTAATCCAGATAGATAATAGCTATTATTAGTAATAGAAATCATTATCTAATTTTGAATGTAGAAAAAAATTTCTTTTTCATAAACACTTTAAGAGAAAGATCTTGATACGATGTAGAAATGTCTTTCTATAATGAGAAGATTCGAAGAATTATACAAAAAGATTTGAAGGAGACAAAACGAAAAAAAGTTATATTATTTAACTTATAAATACCAAATACTCTGAAAGCACATGGAGTTTGCATCAACGTCGAAATAAAAGAAAATAGATTAAAGATACAATGGCGAATGAAGACATTTTGGAGAGTTTTCTATCATATGTACGTGAATCTACACTCTTATTGTACCGTTTGAAGAAAACAAAATCAAAGTGAATATGGAAAGAATTAAAGTTATGCGTTCGATAGAGCTTCATTTATTGTATACGTATCAAGCATTTTCCCAACTGTCAATTTTTAGTTTAGAAAAATGTGGAAACTTCGGATTTCATCCGAGAGTTATGTGTACTGCAAAAAGTACATGGGACATATGAGTCATTCTAGAATGTCTGAACACCAAAATTATCATGAGAAACTAGGCACTTTGGTTTCTGGATGCAGTGTTTGTGCATTTTGAGATCGTTTTCAGGCGATGTTTCCTTAGACACCCAGGTCGTGGACGTACGGCGGGAAACGGCGGGAAAGCACAGGAAAGCGCTGGAAACTGGAAGCAGTATTCCAGTTGGAAGTTACCGGATTTTTTTCCTGTAGATTCCGATCAACTTCCAGATGTAAAACACAGAAAACTGACCGGGAAACACAGGAAACTGACCGGAATCCACTGGGAAAAAATCCGGTAACTTCCAACTGGAATACTG